GGTGTTGCTTTCTCTGGACAGAATATTTGATGACTTCAGTTTAAGCAGCAGATTTGGAATTTACTCTCAAGTTGAGAAACTTTTTTTTATTTTTGTAAATAACCAGAATTTACCAAATCACTATTTTTTGTTCCAGTCACATTTTATTATTTGATCTCATCAGGTTTCTTGCAGGACTCACGTCACAGCTGTCCTCCTTCTTGTGCTGCAGCTCGCAGGGGTCAGAACACACTCGATGAGCGCAGATCATGTTGTCGGTGAACTTCCTGCCGAAGTAGTCACTGCGTTTGCACCGACTCGAGCTCACCACGTCGATCGTCACCTCCTTGAGTTTGTCGGGTCGCGACCCCAGGTTGTCCAGAGAGCCCCAGCCAGCTGTCTCCACCTCGGCATCGGTGCCAGGGTTTGAACCGCCGGCTCGCAGGAACTCAACGGCTTTAACAGCGTCAGAGGCGTTAAACGGACGATCCAGCTGCAACAAACACACAATAATCACCTTTTGTTTTGCTTCTGGTTGTGTTTGTTGACAGGCTCTACACTGTGAGAATAAAAACAGTGACAATCTGGCAGCAAGTGTGCAAGAAAGAAGACATTAGAAATTTAAAAACTACAAAATTAACTCCAAATGTATGTTAAAAAAATGTATTTTTAGTGGATTTAAATACAGCAAAACTGTGTAAATTCACATATTGTAAAACACACCAATTCCTATTTGTAAAAAGAAAGATTAAACATTTTTAAAGTGGACATTATATAACATTATAGTCTGTTTCTTTTCTTTTTCTTTCTTTCTTTTTTTAAAAATTTTGCACAGCCAAAATGTTAATTAATACTGTTTGATTTTAATCACTATTATTAATGTTACCGAAATTGCGAAATTGGGAAAATTTGTTTAAAACGTTTATCTATTATTATTTAAAAATATCAGTTCTGTTCATCTAAAAACTGTACAAAACCTCTGATATGTGCAATAATTAAAACATTTATTAGAACTAGTTCTTGCATATTTTGGGTAATTTTGTTATGTTTGCACCGACTTTGCTGATGTAAAAGTGCAAATTGCCGACTGTGGGATTAATAAAGGCTTATCTGATCTCAATTTAAATAAAGAAAAAAAAAGGTGAAATGTGTAAAAATCAACAAATTGTTGTGTATTGGATTTTAAATTTTTTTTTACAGTCCTGACCTTGTGGTGAAAAAATGTTGAGTTACTGAGTCAATTTCATTACATTGCCTCAACTTGACTTCAGTTTTAAATCAACTAAGACAGATACTTGAGCTTCAATTACACAAAATTAAATAAACGCTCTTTTTTTTTACAGTGTAGATTTCTATCCTAGCTGAAGGTTCTGTTGTACATTTAAGATAAGATAAGGTAAGATAAGATATGCCTTTATTTATCTCACAGTGGAGAAATTCAAGTTGTTTGTAGCAGCATTAAACAGAGATACACATATACGAGAGAAAAAATAAAAAATGTACATATAAATATAAGAAATAGTGCAAACAAAGAGAACAGTGCAAACATTAGACATTATAGACAAAATACTGACACAAACTTTTACCTTAATTAAAGCGATGTCGTTGTCATAATTCAACGCGTTGAAGTCTGGATGGTTGTGAAGCTCCAAAATGTCAAAGGTTTGTTTGGTGTCTTCAGGTTC